TAGAAGCATTCCTTTTAGATTATATACTATTATTATACTGTTCTGTATTTTCTATTTTTTTTTACAACAACAGGTATTACATTTTCAAGTAAATGTTCACAGACAATACATGAATACATTCTCATGTTAAACCACTGAACTACACATAGTCCTCCTCTTAAACCTCCCCTTCCTCTCCTTCTCCAGAGGAAACCAGAGTTGGAAGTTTAGTATGAATTTCTCCATTCCTACACTGTCCTGTATAGAAATCACAACCCATGGGTAGCTATTGAGCACTTGAAACCTCCTAGTTGAGATGTGCTATTAGCATAAAATACGTACCAGATTTAAAAATTAGTATAGGAAAAGATCTCATGTACTTTTTATATTTATTTGCATGTTAAAAAGATAAACTTTGGAGACAGTAAAAAGATCAGTGGTTGCCAGGGATTAAGCAGCTTCGTGGAAGGGATGCATAGGTGGAGGAAAGAGGATCTCTAAGGCAGTGAACCTATTCTGCATGGCACTATAATAGTGGATACATGTCATAAATTTTTCCAAACCCATAGATTGTATAAAACTAAGAATGAATCCTAATGTAAACTATGGATTTTGGGTGATAAGGACGTATAAGTGTTGGTTCATCAATTGCAACAAATACACTACTAAGGAGGAGTATTATGAGAGGGGAGGCTTTGCCCTATCTTTTGCTTAATCTTGCTGTGAACTTAAAACTGCTCCAAAAAAAAAAAAAGGCTTGAAAACATTTTAGACATATTGGAATAAAATATATTACTAAATTAATTTCACTGGTTTCTTTTCTTTTTTAAATGTAGCTACTAGAAAATGTGGCTTACATTATACTTCTATTAAACAGCACTGTTTAGAGTCTAGATCTTTTTAGTACATTTACACATGCATGTCTGTATACAGAAATATATAGTTTTTTTGTATCTTCTGACATAAATATGCACTACTCTGATGCTTGGGCACATTTTTAAAAATTTGATCTATATATGCAATGGATGTTAAATTAATTCCTTTCTTTCTCTCTTTCTTGTCCTTTTCCTCCTCCTCCATGCCTCCCTTTTATACATGACAACCCACAAAGCCTTAGAGTGAAGGAAACAATAATTATTTTCCCTATACAAATGCTGAAGTAAGTATATCTAATATTTGAATTAAATCAACATAGATATAGATTAACAAAAAGATATCCCTTTGTTGTATTTAAAAAGTGCTAGTCAATGGAGGAAGACTTTGGCCTCAACATGTCCTAGGCAAAAATGATCACTTTTAAAACAACTAGATCCAATTTTTCTGTTTTTTTTTCATTGTCATCTCTTTCTCAGACATTTCTTTCTCTTTTTTTTTTTTCAATAGACATAGTCCCATTACTTTATGTTCAGTGACTATCACTGCTAACTAGTTTTTCAGCTGGATCAAAATGCTCCATCAAAGCACCATCTCAGTTCAGCGACTGAATTCTGATAGTAGCTATCAGTAAAAGCTGTAGGGCACAACCTACATGAGCACCAGTTTGCTAAGTTCTGACTAGCTAAAGCAATATTTCAAAAATATTTTTTAATTGTCAAAGGACACATTCATTTGCCAAATAGAGACAGCGAGTCAGCAAGTGGGAGAGAAGGAGAAAGCACGCCCCAGTGGCACTTGGCCATGCCACAATCTTCCTGTTTCTCCATCCTGTTGAGATTTTGAGCAAACATGCACACACACCCATACCCAGCATGTTTTTCAAACTGCTGGGGTCAGGACTCAGACTACAGTTGGTCATGTGAGATATGGCTCCCTTAACCACTGCACAATGGGGCTGACCCTTAAAGTATTTTACAATGCACCTAAATAATTTTATTATAGGTAAATATCTGACAATGTTCAGCTCAGTGGATTCTTCAAAGGAAAGGACCCATGCAAGATCCCTTTACTTTCTGTTTTAAAAATGGCTGAATACACATAAGCAATTTACACGGATTAATGTTAAAGAACTGGGAGTGTGGACACATGCAGCACATTCTTGTACTGGGCTAGAAGGGTATTATCACATCCATGCAAGGCCTCAGCACATGCAAAACATTAGTAGCTCTTACGTGGCCTCAGTGTGGGACCTCCTTGAGGACAGAGAAGAGAAAAAGAACATTAGGCATGAGCAGAGGTGCTGTGAGGACTCTATTTTCATTCCTATGAGTACTCCTTGGTGTTTAGTCCCACATGCATCCCTGTGGTTACAAGATGCCTGGATAAAGTACTACAGTGAAAGGCCTGCTTGTTCCTATGTCCCCTCACTGTTGCTCCCAAACAAGCCTCCCAGTGAGTAAAATGAGGCACGGAATGAGGATCTTAAAAAGTTTCTTCTAGCTATCATTCTCCCACTCTGCCAAACTCAGTTTTCCTTGAACAGATTTCATGGGCATTATTTTAAGTGCTTCATATTGACAGGACATTTGAAAAAGTTTTCTTTTCTTTTCCCTTTATTCTTCACCATTATTTCCCATCATTTAAGAAACAGCAGAGAGAAAAGAGAACAGAAATTAAAACTAAAAGAATACAGAGATGCTCAGCCTTTTTTGAGTGTTATATGTATATCTCTGCCATTAAGACAACATTTTGAAACTTAAAAGAAAATAATTCCCTGTGAATTAGGACTGACTTTATCCGAGTAGATACCATCTGCTGCAGCAGCCCAACCCTGTCCCCACCACGTCTTGGCAGCTAGAGATGAGTAGCCTCCACCCCCACCACTTGCTTCTCCATACCCTTGTCCAAGAAGCTGCCAGGAAGCTCTCAGGCAGTATTAGCAGGCAGGAAGTGGGGTGGGGGTGAGAGGGTCTCCACCCATTAGCAGCTGCTTAAGTAGTCAGCAGGGGATATTTTCTACAGAAATATCCAGGTAAGCAAATCCTTCAAACCAATACAGTCCACATGCTACCCAGTTGTGGAACTAAGTGAAAATACTAAGAAAGGATCGAGAGTGCTAATCCCCTGATTTTTCTCCAATCTTGTGCTTGGCATCCAAAAGAATAAAACAGAACAGTTGGACTTGGCGGTTTAAAGAGAATTATTAGGCAACTGGAAGGAAGTGAAGGCAGCGTACACCAAGGGAAGCTGTCTCTGTGGAACATCATGTACCAGTGATGAAACGTCAAGGCCCATCATGGTCCAAGTGGTGATGTCTGCACAGGCTTAGTAACTTGCCCACTCAGGTTTAACCAAAAGACAAGTTTGACAGATAATCAGAATCATTTGGGAGGTGAACAGGTGGGAGTGGGAAAAGGAGTGAGGTAATTTTAAAAAATGACTTTTTTTCTTTTTAAGCACAATAATATTATCGCCTCAGAGGCTTTGCTATAGTCTATTCTTGTGCAATATGAAAGATAAGGTTTGCCAAAAGTCAGGAAAATATTTCTGAACAAGTCACTATAGATTACAGTAGAACTCTAAAATAAAAATGTAGAAACATAGTTGTTCATCAGATCTTAGTGCATTTTTATTAATGTTTTCCTTGTTGATGAGGCACTTCCTTAACAATAATTTATCGAGGATTTTAAACTTGGTTGGTAAGAGCTGGGTTGATGATTTTATATGCCCATGAAGGGACTTTAGAAAGGTTATGAGCAATAGAATTAAAGTATGTTTTGGTACAAAATTAAAAATAAAACCTATGTTTAGTTTTTTCCTATAATACCCACTTTCCATGAACTCTTTGAAGAACCCCCACTTTGTACTTAAAGATAATTTTTCACGTTCTCTCAATAATAAGAAAACATTAAATGGTTACCTCTGTAAATGTGTTCCGATTGGCTTGCAAGCCAACTTTCACTACCTCAAAAGGGTTAACCACGATGGCTTCTGTTAGTCCAGATCCCAATCCAGCAATGGCAAATGTCTGGAAAAATTAAATCCATCAATACTTTAAAACAAGTTATCACGTGTACTGGGTAAAGCATCCTATTCATTACACCATGCCGCTGAATGTTATGATGAGAATGGAGAAACCTCCATACATGCACCATATACTATTACTAAACAGCTTTAGTTCTTGATTAGATGCTGACAATTCATGAAGAAGAAATTACAGAAGCCACAAACCACATCCGAACAACTTCAAAATAAAATGTCAAAGCCCCATCAACGATGACTTTCCCCTTTAACAAAAAGCAAGGTTGTTTTCCTGATTTAAGGTGGATACCAAAACATCTGCACATATAGCAATTAGAGTTTGAACTGTAAAAGGAGAGCTTCATTTTTGAACATCTACTTAAATACATCTATTGAGCATATAAAGAAATTCAAGGAGCTGAACCACAAATACAAAGTTTATGAAAAGCCAAATTTCAGGTAACAAACAGCATAGCTGGAAACATTTAAACATATAGTCATGTTCTTACAGTCACTATTTGAGACTATTAACAAACTAAAATGATTTTTTATTCATCTTTTCCATATATATATA